GACAACAGATGGATGTGTTCCATTTGAGTATGGACAAATGGCATGTGTCAAAAGAAAGCAGCTTAACAAGGCCCACTCAGTGCTGTGGAGGTTAAGGTGACTGAATCCCACAGAGCCAACAAACCCACCACCCTCACAAAAACACACCAATTCCTGGCAAGTCACATAACATGTTTCATAGCACGAACTGATTTCAATCAGAACACAAAGAACTTCTACGATTTCTGTTTTGGGTAGAAAACAGAGCAACTCTACAGAAGAGATAGATTTATATGTAAGACAAGAGAAGACAAAGACCACCTTTCCGTAACCTGATTTTCAGAAGCTGCTATGGAATTGTGTCTATTTGACTCTCCAAATGGAAGGTTGGAAGCGTATGAAAACATAAACCACATAGTACCTTCTCCTGCATCCTCAGTGACGATGGTGAAGGTGGCGGTTTTGTTGGCCACTCCATACACCAGGCCTGGACCATACGCAGAAACACTTCCACTGTTGGGGTAGTTTACGTAGAACTGGAGCGGGCTCTCTGGGTTTACAAATGACATAAACAAAATCAGGACCCATGAGGTGATGAACTACCTCGGTTAACCTGTATCTTCACATTTACCTATCAGAACAGACTTTAGGTCTCCTAGGCAGAGGCAGAAGAGGAAAAAAAAAAAAGAGGCTGGTGCCACTCACCATCCTAAGACACCGGTAGAGATCTGCTCAGTGTTATAACTTCAATCATCACATAATAAAAATAGCAGAGAGCCAAGAGAGCCCAGGCTGACTGATGCTACTACTTAGCAGGCAGAGGCCACATGGCAGACCCAGGTTCAATTCTTGGCCCATCCAAAAGCCAGAGGTGGTGGTGTGTGGCCACATCTAACTACTCAGGAGGTTGAGACAATGAAATCACAACATTGTGAGAGCCCATCTTTAAAAAAAAAAAAAAAGGAAAAAACAAAACAAAACAAAACAAAACCCTGGGCTATTCCAGAACAGAGAACTCGGACGCCCAGCTCAACTTGACAAATAAGGAGAAAACAACTATACCAGATGAAGATATGACCCACTACTGGAGAGATATAATTGGGAAGGTATTTCTAGAAGGCCATTGGCTCAGGCCACTATGCCCCAGCAAGTCCTCCTTTGAGAACCAAATCCCATGGAAATTCCTTTACAAGTGTGAGATGATGGACGTAAAAGACTATGAAGGCTCTTCAAGAGTTCATGGAAGGGCCAGCTAGTGGCATTGTGTTAAGGTGACTGGATCCTACATAGCTGACTATGAGGTTCCAAACCTGGATGCCCCAGCTTAGAAAACCCTCTGGGTATGTGTGAGTGTATGTGTAAGATCCGAGGGGAGAAATGGAGAAGGGACTGAAGCATGCCCATCCCCCCTGGGGAGTACGTTCTCATTTCTTCAGTAACAATATGAATAATGATTACTAAAAGCTGGGGAATGGAGGGTTCAGGGAAGGAGAGAGGGATGTTAGCACACAAATATCAAATTATAGTTACATGAGAGGATGAATTATGTATTACACATCTACTGAAAAAAGTGTTTAAATCAGCTCGGGAGTGGTGATCCAGGCAGTAAGAGCTGCTTTTCAATGCTAGAGCCACACAGAAGACCAGGGTTCAGATCTCAGTTTACCAGAAACATGCTGTGCATGTGTGTTCACAGTTGTGTGTGTTGGTGGTCCTGGCTGGCTGGAAGGCTGGGCCGGGGGGGCAATGGGTTTGCAGGGTAATGAGATCCCCTTGAAGGTATCTGTTTCCCTCCCTCCATCTCTCCCCCTTCTTTTTCTTAAAATAAAATAAACTTAAAAAGAATTTTTAAAAAATTAAAAACAATTAACAGTCAAGTTCAAGGAGAGGACAGATGGAGAATATGATGGAAAGGAAACCTTTCTCCACATCGCTTTTATTTTTAAACCATGAGGATGGGTTACCTACTCAAAATGTTCAATTAATAACCATAAAAAATTGAATAGCTGCCAAAAGCAAAAAAGCTGAGACCAGTACTGCTGCAGTTGGTGGCCATGGACCTGAGTGGCTTCCTTCCCAAGGGCTCCCTGTCCCTGACTCACCACTCCCCTCCCCCCGCCGCCTCTGACCCTTCCTGAAGCCCCCGCACCACGTGGGCTTCTGCAAGCCAGGCTGGAAAGTCCCTCCTCACGTCCCGACATTCTTCTCCCAGCTCGACCTCTGGCCACACTCCGCACAGTGACAGAGACAAAAAACCCCGGACTCGAGGGCCTGCACTGTGCCCCAGGCCAGGACGCTGACCCGCATCGTCCCTCTGAAAGTCTGCTGGGCCTGCTGGGGCTCGCAGGCTGCTGGGTTTGATGGGGATGCCAGTCCTGCATCTCCACACCTGCCACCAAGAGCCAGCACAGCAGGTGACTGGACCCCGAAGGTCTGCCAGCCTTTCAGCTTCTGGGCCCTGGGTGATGGAGCCCTGCAGGCGGGCGTGTGGCCAGACTGCAGCTCAACTTACCAGGGATGTGGCTGCCCATGTATCTGATGTGCATCTCGTGGAGCCCGACTTCGGTGGGGGCATATCTGACCGTGACTGTGCCGTCCTTGTTGTCCACGATCTCCGGTGTGGCCGTCTTCCCAGAAGGCATGTGGACCTCTCCTATGGAGCACAGAGTCAGGGTAATGAGCCCTCCAGGGAGCTGAGCCCTGGAGCAGCAGAGCACGAGGCCTGGGACGCCACCACAGCAGAGGTTTCCAGACCGAGCATATCCACCACCGCCTAAAACGCCCATGTCCCACAACAGGAAGACTGAGACCTACAGGCATTTTGTTGTTGACCCCTTTGGCTTCCACAAAATGCACCAGGCAACTCAGTAAAGAACTTTCTAGAACTGGCACTTCAGAACCCAAACAAGGCTGGGGAAGACCGGAAAACGAGCAGGATTAATAGTACTGACGCAGAGAAGCAGGCGTTGAGAGGAGGCTGGGGTGAGAAAGTTAACTTCCTACCAAAGACCTGGGTCCAGGTCATATCTGCAAGAGCAGGAGAATAAAAGAAGGCAGGGAAAAGGGCAGACAGACAGGAGCCTGTGCTTAGGTCCAGAGGTACCTAACACAGCCACTCCGACCCTCGAGAGAGCCATGCATGTTCTGCAGAATTTAATACAAATTGTGAACACAACCTCTCGAGAGAAACACACACATGTGCACACGACCTACAACTCAGGGCAAGAACCAGAGATGCTGGGTGAAGGAACCATGCCTGGAGGGCGGTGGTGCCCTCTCTCAGCCCAGTCTGGATTGCTAGTGTGAGCCAGGGATGAGATGCCTTCAGGGCGAGTGCTTACCGGTGATTTCTCCTTTCCTGACTGCAAATGGAATGACCAGGTCAAAAGGCTTAAATCCCAGGCCGTTCATGTCACTCACTGGGACATAGGCCTCTTCAGTCACCTGAAAACAGGAAGCAGTGGTCACTGGGGAAGGTGGACAGCACTGTGGGCCAGGGAAGTTACAGGGGGCAGAGCTACTGGGAATTCTGCAAGCCAGTGAGTCTGGGACTGGGGGACGTGGCAGCCCAGGCACGATGGGCTTTGTCTGGCCCTGGGCCCAGAGCAGAAACTGAAGGGGTGAGAGGTCACACGGACCAACTGCTAGCAAAATGGCTCGGCAGTCTGTTTGTAGAATTCCCAGCAGTGCCCAGAGGAAAGTGGGAAAGTGAGAGACAGCAATGTCTGAGTCCCCAGAAGCTCCACCTGGAAAGCTTTAGCGCTGGTGGTCTGGAATAGAAGGTGCATTGTAAGTGGCAGAAAGTAGCAGCAGGTGACTTTTCCCCTGGACAGAGACCGAATGTGCAACTGGCGGCTTTGAGAGTCAGCAGGAGCCTGCAGACAGCTGTCCATCGCTCCCTTTACACACGGGGACAAACTGCGCCGAGCGTGACCGCAGAGGTGAAGGCTGGCAATTCGCGGAGCGCGGACGGTGACACAAAGGTGGGTTTTATTACACACACAGTGAGATCATCGTGATGGACGGATCAGTGGGGACACACCAATGACCAGGACACCCACAGGGCTTAAGCGATCCCCAGAAGCAGGCGGCAGCTTTTCTGAGATGAGGACTGAGTAAAACACAGAAATGCACAAAGGAAAAAAGACAAAAAAAAACCCAAAAAACAAAAAACCAAAAGTGTACCCAGGGCCTGAATCCAGGGGGACATGCATTTACCGGAGCCTCCTCCACGGCTGTGACTTCCTCATCCGTGGCCTGGTTGGTGGCAAATGGAGATTAGGTGGGAGTCATACTGCAGGGGGATTGCTACTCAGAAGGGGCCACACCGTGAGAGCTGATTCCTCCCTATGGCTCCATCTGTACCCCGGGGATCTGCTACCCTAACGGGAGGGCACGTATTGCTCTTTTGGAGTAACTTGGTGTCCTCCCTGAAAGTCGAAGACACCTGCCCTTTGAACCCATCACCTCACTTCTAGCAAGCAGATCTATACGAGCAGGAGACTTCCTAGATGCAGTGACATGTGTAAGTTACACCAGAGCTGTCACGGTTGTGAAAAATGGGAGCAACCTGATGTCCGTCTGCAGAAAATGGCTTAAATGAATTACGGTACATGTGCCCAGGGGAACCTTGAGCAGCCATTCAGAAGAAGAGATTAAGATTATGAACTAGTGGGGCCAGCAGGCGGCGTGGTGGTTAAGGGCACTGTACTCCCACAGAGCCAACTGTAGTTCGAGTCCCAGACCTGGTGGCTTACTTTCTCACTTTCTCTCTCTCTCTGTCCCTCTCTGATCAAATTAAAATAAAGTTAAATAAAAGAATTCTTAATTAAAAACAAGATTCTAAACTAGTATGGAAGAGTATCTGTGGCATACAGTGGGGAAAAGCCCACTGCAAAGCAGTGTTTATGGTGTGATTCCACCTGCAAGGGTTTGTTGTATAAGCATGGGATCCAGAAACAGATCTTTCTTTACTTGACACAGGTCTATAGCAGTTAATGTTTTAGAAGTATTTATGTGGGGGTTTTCCCCCCAGTTTGCCAGGCTTATGCATTTCCTGGGAGACACAGAGTAGGAAGTTCAGAAAGCAATCCCCATGGTGAACGGTCACACTGCAGTACCTTCTCTTCCATCTTGCCCTCCTTTTGGGGTTTTGGGCATGCACACTTACACATCCAGACTATTTTTCAGGACACCAGATCCAGGACTTAACCAGACAGTCAGCCGTGTGGGATCCAGCCACCTTAAGCACCACACCACTGGCTGGCCCTAAATTCATTTTTTAAAGATCTTAGACATTGTGCTCCTGATCCAACTAACCCAATAGAGAGATCCCCTTTGAACACCTCTCTTCTGCCCTATCAGAAGGCCTCCCCTGCAGAGGAAGGGCCAGGTTAATTCCTTTTTGTGCCCTTTGGTATCTGTGGAAAAGGGGCTTTACTCACATAGGCAGCTTGTGAGCGCTATGTTTGCACCATCCTGGAGCCTGCTCAGAATGGGCCACCCAGGGACACATGGGCCAGGAGGAAGCACTGTCAATGGCGAGGGCCCTCACTCCAGACTTCACAGAGATGCAGATGAGCTGCACGTCCCTGACTTCCTATGCACACAACCAAACCTGCCCAAGGGGCTCCTGCGATTTTTGCTATGAATGCAGTACTGGGTGTCTGTGTCATTTTGGCCTCAAACCTACAGAGGCAGGCAGGGAACTACCCAGCTGAAGCCAATGAACAGAAGCTCCGTCCGTCTTTTGGGTTATCAGAAAAGTCATGACGCCATTTTTGCATAGAAAAACATAGACGTTGTGACGTTTCTGATGATCCAATACGTAAGCTTGGAGAAAGATTGGAAAGAGCAAATAGAAACTGAAACCAGGTCCCTATCTGTTTCAGCAGAGGTTGCAGTAGGGGACGGTGTGCACATACTAAGTATTCTCGCTTTGTGAGGACTCAGGCCTGGGGGGCATTAATTCCTCATGAATTTGGTGGGCTCCACTTCAGGCCTCTGGTCTGGTCCACCAGCATACTGATTTTCTCACTAATACCCCTCCTAATCGCAGCTCACTGCACCATCCCACCCAATTCTAATCAACCAGATAAAATTCACCATGGGGTAAAAATAGATTCTGGAAGCTATACCTGGGACCCTCTTCTGTAAATGGGGACACAAACTTTCTAGTGAGCTTCCCTCTCTCCTGCAGGAGAAAAACACTCCTGAACGACTAATGTCAGAAGTTGACAAGTGCTTACATACTGGAGACATGAAAGACTGCAGACAGCTGGCACGGTGTTTACAGATACACACATGTCCACAGAAAGGAGAAAAGCTACAAGAGGTTATGGACTGTTTGGAAGATGGTTGCCTGGGCTTCGGTTTGGAATGGAGTCTTTGTGCCCTTCTCCGTCACTGCCCAAAATGAACTAATTAGAAGGTACTTTGGAGACCATGAGCAGGGCCAGGTCATTAGTGCCCATGAGCCTGGGGCCAAGCGTGGCTGCTGCCCGTGGCATCAAAGGGCACCTGGCGAGGAGACAGCAAGGGGGACTTGGTGTCTGGGCAAATATGGCACACTTCACTTGTCCAAGAGCCAACCGGGCTAGGTTTGGAGGGTTAAACGAGGTAGTGCATCTAAGGTTTCTACCTCCTCTCCTGGTTGAAAATCCTACTAGATCTGAAAGTCACTCAGAATTCATCATTGAAGACCCTAGTCACCCGCGAGGCTAGACGTTTGCACGATGGTTTCCTTTTGTTCCACGTGTCCCTAGTTTCAAAAGACAAAGTACTTCTCCCTCACATGAAAAGTTTGAATCTTTCCAAAACACAACTGAGGGTGTGCTTTGCATCCTGGGATATCAGAACAAGTCTCCAGACAAAACAGCTTCAGGAAGCCCCCTCCCTCAGCCATGACCAACAGCCACGGGGATGGGCAGGAGGAGAGGAAGGAACTAGCAAAATAACATGTTATGTTTTATTTTTATAAATGTGTGGGTTTTTTGTATCTTTCTGAACTCGGCTTAGGCCAGGGTAATGCCTAAGTCCCTTAACATGATAGACATCTCATTGGAAACCCTTTGAGTCGCAGGGTCTCTGGATTTCTAGAGATCATTCGACAAGGTCATGAGTACATAACAAAGAATTTTTTAAAGGAAAAAAGGGCCAGCCTCTTAGCACAGTAGTTAAGGGAGCTGCATCCCACGTGGATGACTGCAGTTCACATTCTGATCCCGGCAGATTGAAAAACATGCCAGGCGCATGTGCGTGTATGCCCTAAATCCTGCCAGCAATGAGGAATGGAGGAAGAATTGTGGCATGACTGTAACAAATCGCAGGGTACTTTGCCTCTCTCTGGCAATTAAAAATTCTTAAAAAAGAAACAAAACAGAAGGGGATCTCCTAGTCAGAGTTCAACAAATGGCAGTTGTTACTGTTCTGCAAATAATAGCATGTTCTAGAAAAGGAATTTTCCTTACCATGACAGTGAAGGGGCTGTTGGGAATATCGACGCCACCAAAGCGCACATAGATGACGTAGGTGCCCGGCTTGGCAGCCGTATAGAAAATATCATAGGTTCCATCCTCATTCTCGATGACATCAGCCTCAGCCTCAGTGCCGTCTGGGGTCAGAACCGTGCAGGTCACCTTCCCCTTCCCTGCAGTCTTGGCGTCAACAACAAAGCCCACTTCCTCACCAGTTTTCACGGTGGGGGCGATTCCAGGACCTGGAGCAAAGTTCAAGAGAAAAGAATGGAAGCATCTACGATGACACCCTGGAGACCCAAGAATAAGTCACACTCATTCACGCTATCTCTGTCTGTAAATATGAGGCCTTCAGTGCCACCAGACAGAGGGATGGCCCAACCAACACATGGCAAAGGTGTTTCTCAAGGAGCGAGAAATTGCTTTAATTACGTATTAAAGAGCATCTGCAAGCTCTGAGTGTCACCTAAAGGTTAGCCTTGGCTTGTCAGCATTCAGGGGCTTGGGGATAAAGGTAGCTTTCATTGGCTGACATATATTGGACACTCACTTAAACACCAGACACATATACAGGTGAACAAGACATAGTCCCTACTCTCATGCTCTCGGTGTATCAGAGTAGACAGATGTGGGTGGGCACCAAGAATGACAGATCAACTTGCTGTGGAAATGCTTCGGAGGGACTAAGTTATAGAAAAAATAACAATTGTTCAGAGAAGTATCCTGTAGCTCATTTATTTTAAGGTTCTAAGGATTTATATCTCAGAGCTGCCACATTGACAGAGGGTTTCCTTAAAAAAAGGAAAAATGGCTGACCTCTGAAAAATGAGGACTCTTTGCTAGGGGAGACATGCAACCTATCCCCCCTAAAATAGCTAATCTCTCTCACTCTGATTTGTGGTACAGGATCCACACATCAAGAAATACAGGAAAATACAAACTGAAAGCAAAAAAATGAACCCAATGTCGAGGACCAACAGGAATGGTAAGAATATTTTGTTCAGAGAATGATCCACAGAAGACAGGAGAAAACCTGTGAAAGATCCTGAATGACAGACCAAAAAGCATAGCCAATAGGAGTCCCCAGGCTGAAGAGACTATGTGACATCTTCACCAAGTTCATGGAAAATGTGTATTATGAAAAAACTACGCATGGATTTCAATTTTTCTTTTCCCCTTCACTCATACGTTAATTCCCCTTTTTCTATGAACTTTTTGAAGTCCCCTTCAAAAGAATAATTAACATGCTCTTGAGTTAGCAAAGAAAATCCAGCAGATGCTGACTAGGAGGTGGTGGACTGGCCAACATATCACCCACTTCAAAAACAAGGTAATGACAGGGCCATGTATCTGGTACCCATGCTAGGCATTTTTTGATGTCTGACCTCATGTAATTTTACAATAACCCTGTGGAATAGTCTCTGACCTTTAGAAGAACTTCTTGAATCTAAATGCTTTCAAAAAACAAAACAACACAAAAGATCTTCAATCTTTGACTGAAGGTCAGAGAGGTTGTGTAATCTGCAGGGATCACACAGCTTGTAAGTGCCAGAGAGGGACTAGAGTCAAGCTTTCTTTTTTTTTTTTTTTCACCAGACAGAGAGAGACATAGAGACAGAAAACGAGAAAGCACCCCCCAGGGGGGATGGCCACTCCGCAATCCCTTCTCCTCCATTCTCCTCTCAGGATCTTGGGCACGCACGCACACACGCCAGGCCTGAGTTTTAAGCCACTGGGTCCGGGACGCGAACCGCGGTCAACTACGTGGGAGTCCAGCGACATAGCCATTACACTAACTGCTGGTTCCCTAGAGTCAAGCTTTCTGACACCTAAACCCACATTCCGGTCCTTGCTGCTACCCTGCACTCACCTGTGGCCATGCACTTGCTGGCATCACCTGTCTGTGTTGCCCGGATACGGTAAGGAGAAAGTGGGATGTTGTCCCCACCGTAGGTGACTCCGATCATATAGCGACCCGTCTTGTCAGGGATGTACGTGACGGCATACGTGCCATCTTTGTTGTCATGGACAATGGCTCTTTTGGGTTTTCCCTCTTGGTCCTGTGAGTCATAGAGAAATATTGTTTAGGATGCCATTCTGTTAAAACATAGAAACCAGGTCTGCCAGGTGGTGTGGTGTCTTAAGGCGGCTGGATCCCACATGGCTGACGGTGCCCGTCAAATCCCAGACCTGGTAGCATGAAAAACACACTGGGCACATGTGGGAGCACGCCTGAAATTCCGAGAGGAGAATGGAGGAGAAGGGACTATGGTGTGACCGCCCCCCTGGGGGGTGATTTCTCACTTTTTCTCCCTCCCTGTCTCTCTCTAGCAACTGCACATGCCCTATATAGCAAAAACAAACAAACAAACAAACAAAAAACTATTCACAAAAGTTTGACATGGTCCAGCCTGGTGGCACCGTCCACAGTATACCAGACTGTGGTAATGGAAGGCACACAGCCCATGAGTTCAGATCTAGGGTCAGGTTGAAAATGTGCTGGGCTTATACGTGGGGGCCCCAGGAAGCTGGGGGATTGCAGCTTAACAAAAGCCTATGGAGGATGCTTCTCCTCTCACGGTCTCATACACATGTTCTCTAGCATAAAAAAAGATTTTTTTTTAAATTTCAAAAAAAAATAATAAATTTGAACAGAAAGAAGCTAGAGGCCAGCAGGTGGCAGGGTGTTTAAGGTGCTAGATTCTCACATGGCCAACTGTGGTTTGAATCCTGGACCTGGCAGCTTGCTTTCTCACGTTCCCTCTACCTCTCTGTCTCTCTCTGGTGAGTGCATGTGACCTGGGGCAAATTTTAAAAATAATAAATAAATATTGGATTGCGGGAAAAGTCATGATGTATTTTTGCATAGAAAAACAGAAAAATATGCCATGACTTTTCCCACAACCCAATAAATCTTAAAAGAAAAGAAAAAGAAAAAAGGCCGAAAAAGAAAATTCTGACACGTTTTACTCATTAGTGTGTCTAGCGGGAGGAGACAGAGTGAATGGCTTAATTCAATGTTGTTTTATTTGGCATGGAGAGAAGGGGGTCACCAAGTCCTTTACACCGCGATGGACATGATCAGCTTCTACTAATTCTTCTGTGAAGTGAACAAATAACGTTTTAGCTCCAAATCCACTTCCCTACGTCTCTAGGAATAGGACTCTGATTCTCAGCTAGACGCACTGCTCCCGGAATCTGAGGCTTCACCCCACAGTCTCCTTGCCTCTAGGTTCAGCCATGTTCTAGGCTCAAATGGTGGCACAGTGATAGTGCACCTGGACCCACATGGGAAAGGTCCCAAGTTCACTTCGGGAGCTCCCGGAGTAGACCAGGCATGTGATCCAGCCTGGCTTGGACTATGAACAGATCTTGGTGGAAGGACCCTATGGGGATGCCTATCTCTAGCTCTCTGTCATGGAAGAGACAGACAAACTTTTAAAAGATAATAAAATATGGGGCATTAGCAGGTGTCATGGTGGTTAGGGTGCTGGACTCCCACAGGGTCGATTGTGGTTTGAATCCCAGACCTGGCAGCTTACTTTCTCACTTTCTCTCTCTCTCTGGTGAGCACACATGACTTTAGCAAATTAAAAATAAAAATCATGATCACAATAAATAAAATTAAATAAATAATATATTATTTAATATTAGAAATAATAGTAATAAAACCCAATTTTTATTCCAGGCCAGAAAATTCAGCCTTCCTAATAAGGTTTGACTTCAGAAAATAACTCCAAGTTACCGTGATCTGAACAGCAAGCAGGCCTTCCCCGGCATCCCTGGCATCGATCGCAAACTCCACGGGCAGGCTTGCAGGCACACCGTAGGAGCTGAGGCCCGGGCCACTGGCGGTCACTTTGCTGGCATCGTACGTGGGAAGGACCTTGACCTTAAAGGGACTTGACAGACACACACACAGATAGCCCTGGTCAGTAAGGAAACATGTCATCCTGGCCATGTCTGACCTCTCCTACAGAGACTGCGATCGAGAAGGGATTTCCACAGTCAAAGGGCCGTGAGCCCAGCAGAAATTTAGAAACATGAGATAGTAACCACCACATGGCAGCCTGGCATCTGCTTCGAGTGATTTCCATGGGAAACAAACTGTTTGGGAGAAAAGGGCTCCCGAATTACTCTGGGAAACTTGCGGTTAAACACTTCGAACCCACTGCTGTTACGACTAGAGAGTAGTCAGCAAAGTAGAAAGAGAATTCTGAGACTTTAGTTTTATTGCCTTATCTCCTCTTAGTCTGCATTATTTATGCGTACTCTGTTTATTTAATATGCTTTAGGTGGTACATGATCTATTAGTGCCAACGGCAAATGAAATTTGTGAGTTACACATGTCCACACAGCTAGAGCTCTACGTGTATCCCTTTATAAATCATGTATACTGGGGGCATGGGGGACAGTTGTGATCTTTAAGGGGTATGATTAAAATCGTTCACAGGTTGTCCCAAGAAGGGAAGGGGTCACGTAATTTTTTTTTTTTTTTTTTGCATTAACATGAGTCAGTAACAAGGTCTCTAACTCAAACCATCTGGGAATGCTATTGTCAACTAAACCCTCAGGTGAAGAAGTAAACACCTCTGTCTGAATCAGAAAATTTCTTGCAAGGTCACCAAAGAGAAGCCCCTAGTAAACTTAAACATTCCTTATTCGAGGATTCCCAACTTCTGGGCCCGGGTGGTGGCGCTGCGGTAATGCAACCGGGCCCGGGTGGGGGCGCTGCAGTAATGCAACCGGGCCTGCATGGTGGCGCAGCGGTAATGCAACTGGGCCCACTAGGGGTGGATCGCAGGGTGAAGTCCCTGTTGAGGGTGATTTTTCTGTTTATCTCTCATGGAAGAAATTAATAAGCTTTATAAAAGAAAGCAAGCAAGGAAGAAAGGAAGGAGGGAAGGAAGGAAAGAAGGGAGGAAGGAAGATTCCCAACATCTTAATTTCAGCTCACCTTTCTTTAAACTAAAGAAATGAGGGTGGGAGCAGAGGCAGAACTATTGGGACCACACGGGTGTGAAACATCAGCTTCTGGGTATGAACTGCTCATGGATGGGTAGGTGGACTGGTGGTTGGATGGGTGGGTGGACAGATGCACTGACGGCTGGATGGGTGGGTGGACAGATGCACTGACGGTTGGATGGGTGGGGGGACAGATGCAATGGCGGTAGAATTATTATCGAGGGGTCTCAAGATCAGTGACTGGTGGTTGGATGGGTGGGTGGACAGATGCACTGACGGTTGGATGGGTGGGTGAGCCACACCACAGTGCTCAGAATTATTATCGAGGGGTCTCAAGATCAGTTTGTAGTCAAGCGTTAGGAGCTTACCTGCGAGGAATCTCTTCATCGGCATATTTAACTGAGACCATGTAAGGTCCCTCCTGAGATGGGGTGTAGGTCACTGTGTGTGTGCCATCCCCATTGTCCACCACATTCACTGGCTCCACCAGGCCTAAGGACAGAGGGGAGAGGTCTGAGGAAGTGTCTGGCCTCCCCTGGCCAAGTGTGAAACATAATCACATCCATTCCTGAGAACTATTGCTTCCCACTGATGAGTAACAAAAAGGCAAGCAGGCCTTAATCACAGGCCTCAGGAATCACAGTATCCCCAATTCATGGTTGCAGAAATGACCCCAAGAGACACCTTTAGCTTTCTGTTGGCTAAGGTACACTCCGGTCTGCCTGAGAGTATAATTAAGGAGACTGCCCGCACTTGCTGCCGGAGGGCGTGAGGCGGAGGTGCACACTGCAGACACGCTATCGTCTTTCAAGCTGGTTAGGCGGGCTTGGGATGTGGCAATCTTACTCTACAGCTGTGAACGTGCCAAAGAAACTAACCAACGGGATGGATGGCTAAGACTTGCAGCCCCCTTTGGGCAAAGACCACGTTGGCGCCAGCATGCTGGGGTGTAGTGGAGGGCAGGGCAGGCCAGGGTGCCAATCTCACAGGGCGAGGGACCCTCATCGTGATGCTTGCGGGATGGTTAGTGATTACGTTCAGGCATAATCAAAGCATGCGCTGGGTTGATGGATTCCAGATCCCGGCTCCAAACGGGAGAGTCAAGGGTGGGTCAACGACAGGGGAGAGCGATCAAAGCGTGGCATGCTCATTAAGCAAAGCAGACAAGGCAGGCCCAAGCAATGTTAGAGGTGGGACCAGCAACAGACATTCAGGTTATATAATTCAAAGCAGCAGCCAATGGGAAAATGCAAACCTGTCTCCGTAAGGTCACCCTTCGGGTCACCTTTAAAGAACTCTGAAATGGTTCTCAAGGGGCTGCGCCATGACTGGGAATCCGTCTCATCAGCTACAATTAAAAGGCTGTTACTTGAGAGTCCCTGTCACAGAGGGAGCTGCCCGAGTGGCTTCTCTCTCTTCCATCCCTCCCTCCCTCTCCCGCCACCCGCACACACGCACACACACAGGTCTTGAAGCTCAGGAACGTCGCTGAATCAGACCGCGACCTCATAACCTCGTTTCCCCAAAACTACTTCTGCCCTGAGCTTCAAAGGGCATAACC